TGTACCTTTTGGCTATTGTAAATAATGCTGCGGTGAATATTGGTGTACAAATCTCTCTTTAAGATCCCGCTTTCAGTTCTTTCGGATATATACCCAGAAGTGGAATTGCTGGGTCATATAGTAATTCTATTTTTAGTTTTTGGAGAAACTATTTTCCATAGGGACTGCACCATTTTATATTTCCACCAACAGCATACAAGGGTTCCAGTTTCTCCACATCCTCACCAACACACTGTTTGCTGTTTTGTTTTGCTGTCGATAAGTGTTATTCTAGTGCCTGTGAAGTAATGAGGAGTTGTTTTTTAGTTTGTAGCAGTTTGCTGATATGTCTAAATACAAGTGTCTTCTTGTTTGGATGGAGTACTAAGATCCTGAATCTAAAAACTTATATGTCTGTCACCAAATCAGGAAAATTCTTGACCATTATTTCTTCAAGAATTTTTCTTCCTTGCTCTCTTTTTCTCTCCTTCTGAGACTCCAATGACACATAAACTAGACCTTTTGTTACTACTCAATACATCTCTGAGGCTCTCTTCCCTCCCGCCCCCAATCTTTTTCCTCTGTGTTCTTCAGATAGGATAAATTCTATTGCTCTGTCTTCAAGTACTGACTTTTTCCACTGCGATTTTCATTCTGCTCATGAGCCCATTGAGTGAGTTTTTATTACATGTATATTGTATTTTTCATTTCTATAATTTCTGTTTGTTCTTTTTTATAGTTTAGATGCTGAAATTTTTTATCTTTTGACTTCAAGTGTTTTCCTTTTGGAGCAGAATTATACTAGATGTTTTCAAGTCTTTGATAAAGCAGTTCAATATCTGGGTCATCTTGAAGTTGGAATATGTTGATTGTCTTTCCCTTGAAAAATGGTCATATTTTCCAAATATTTCTCTGTTTGAAATGATTTTGGTTTGTATCCTGGACATCACCTTCATGTTGTTTAGACTCTGGGTCCTGTGTCATCCTCTGGAAAATGCTAAATCTCCTTAGGTTGAGATTGCAGGTTCTGTTTCACTTTCTGTGGGTGGTGGTTCAAATATCACTTCAGTTCTTAAAGCTGGGCTGGGACTCTTCCATGCATGGTTGGCTCAGAGATGAGCCTGAGGCCTGTGTGGCTTCATACACAGGATTAGGAGATCTCCTCCGGCCCTCCTAGCTCTGGGATTCTCCCCTTATCCTTCCATCCCCTTAGGGCTCCCTTTCCTGGTTCATCTGGCCAGAAAGATGGAGTTTTTATTGGAGTCTTAGGCATCCCCATGGCCACCACAGGAGAGTTGCTCCTGGACAGGTCTACCCTCAGGGCAAAGCCATGAAGAGAAAAAAAATCAAGAAGCTCATCCAGTGCGATTACTTCAAGATTTGCTTTCCCCTGTAGTTCTATTTTCTGCGTAGAGTTTTTAGCTATAATCAGTTAAAATAGGACAGGTTGTCACACTGCCATAACAAAACTAGACCCTCTATCATTTTACTCTTTTTTGACAGGGCTTGGGGTGTTTTTTTTTTTGTTGTTTTCCCCAAGAAGTTGTATTTAAAGGTACATCCTTAAATTGGCTAAAGAGGATGTTTTTACTGATAAAATATGCAGCATATCATGATTTTTAAATTTTATGAATCAAAAACTTTTCTGTAAAATAGATGAAGAGAAAATAGTTGGAAACTCAAAAGACAACTGAACCAGTCATAGTAGGAAATTCAAAACACTTTTCTCAGTTTTGACAGATGGAATAGAGGATTTAAGTAACAAAATTTCCTCAGTATGCTTCACTTACTAGTTAATTGTGTACAGATAAGTTTATTCCCATTCTTTCCAAATGTCTTATAAAACATATATTTAAAATGAAATCAAAACAGCAACAAAAAAACTAGCTCAAATAGAAAATCTCAAATTCGCCAAAGCGTGACTTTACACATCCTGGACTATAGTGCAGTTTGAAGTTTGGGTGTAATTTTTCTTTTCATCCTCCCAGTCACAGATTTTTTTTTTTTTTCACCAGCTTGAGTGCTGGGCCTGCTGAGGGGGTGACGGCCTCTAGTAGCAAGCATACCCAATGCAGGTCATGGATGGTTTCATTTCTCACAGTCTGCTCCTTTTCAAGGTAATTCCTGATTTATGGGGTCATCTGACTTTTATAGCCACTTGCTTAAGTAGATTGGAAGGAGATAGCATGATTTGCCTAAAATTACACAGTTGGAACCATATACTCTCCTTATGGCTCATTGTTCTCTGCCCACCTCACACAGCTGGCTGCTTAGTCTAAGTCTCTGAGACTGAGAATAAAATGGATTTATTCTTGGTGTATTTTGGAGATTAAGGGAAGAATCAGGGCAGGAGTGGGAAAGTTTGGTGATCCCTTGAATCTTAATTTGAAAATTTGAGGGCTTCCAGGACATCCCTGCTGATGGTGGTTTTTAAGAAAACTATTTAGGTTTTGGTTTATCAGTTGTACAGGTCAAGTTGATTGGTTTGGACAATTGGGGGTACCGTTATTAAAGGAAACCAGCCAAATTTTAAAACAAAATTAAACTACCACAGAGCAAATGTTTGAGGATAGTGTGGTTGGGGATGTTCTCATCCTCAGGAATGAGCTCTCTTTCCAAGATAAGGCTGTATGAGGGGAACAAGAGTGCACAGGCATATGCCCCGGAGATACCGCAGATTCCGCCCAGACCACCGCCGTAAAGCGCAAATGTTGTAATAGAGTGAGTCATGTGAATTCTTTGGTTTCCTGGTGCATATAAACGTTGTTTACACTGTAGTAAATGCATTAGCATTATGTCTAAAAACACAATGCATACTTTAATCTAAAAATGCTTTATTGCTAAAAATTTCTAACCATCATATGACAACACAGGGTTGCCATAAACCTTCAGTTTGTGGGGGAAAAAAAAAAAACCAAACACATTACCTGCAAAGTGTGATGAAGTGCAGTAAAGTAAGTTCTGCCTACACACAGTTTTGGCATTTTTGCCGACTCTGGACGAATCACATGGCCTACATATATATACATATATTTTTGTTGTTTTTGTTAAGAAACTACTGAGGCATTAAACCCAGTTTACAAAACTAGCTTAGAATTTCACTCTTCTAGGATCTAGTACTCTATACTTGAGACTGCTTAGTTGAAGTACATTAAGTAGATTATTTAGATAAGCCCAGTTTGATTTTCATCTGATTTTAAAATGTTTTCTTTCTTAAGACATTTTAAAAGTGCTATTACTACCTTGACAGGTAAGAGAGAGAAAAAAAAAAAACAGACCTTAACCTAATCGTTATTAGCATTTTTGTGTGTTATTTTTCACTTGGGGTCCGTCCATCCCCCCCCAGTTATGCCTTTTTTTTTTCTTTTTCTTTTTACTAGTGGGCTGTTTTAGAGAATGACAGTGAATTAATGTGGTTGCAAGTTAATCAGTAACTTGACATTACTCCCTTCAACCATCTCCTCCCCACTGTAGTTGGAAGACAAAGGGTTAATAAGAGCTGTTGAATTATTGCCTCACCACTAGATTAATAGGATGTTCCTGGTGCATGTTCCACCTTTATTAGATAATCAAGAACTGAGTATAATTTCTTAAACCCTAGCAAGCATCAAAGTCACATGAAGGACTTGTTAAAACACAAATGCTGGGCCGCACCCTCACAGTTTCTGATTCAGTGGATCTGGGGTGGGCCTGAGGATAAGAATTCCTAGCAGGTTCCCAGATGATGCTGATTCTTTTAGCCCTGGACTACCTTTGAGAACCACTGGTGTACACCATGATTTTAAGTGGTCCTCTGACCATCATTGTCCTTTTTTCTGATTAACCAAGAGTTGATTTTAGTTGAAATCATAGTTTAGATATTTTAATAATTTTCATCCCAAGCATTTTCCCAAGTTGCTGTAAAATCTTTATTTTAACTTATAAAATTACATAAATAATGCATGCTTTTAAAATAAAAATCAGGGAGGAAATATGCTAAAAGAAAAATTAGTTACAAATTCTACAAGGGTCGATAATTTTAATGTATATCCTTTCAGTCTCTCAAAAGATCGATAGACAGACAGACAGACGACAGTCACTCTGTCTGTAGCCTTGCCACCCTGACTGTCTTCGATCCTGTCTCATCTTGGAGGCCAAGTAGAATTGGACCTGGTTAGTACTTGAATGGGAGAGAGACAAAACTATGTATATGTTGTGGGGGTGTGTGTGAATGTATACACATTCAGGCACAAATATGTTTTAACAAAAAAATGAGATAATTTAATACCTATATTTTTAGCCACTTATTTTTTTATTCGCTATGTAGTGAGTATCTTTTTTATTGACTATAGATTTAGTTAATTTTAGTTGTTGTAGAATTTTATAGTATATTCTGTCATTTAATTAATTAGTTCTCCATTGTTGGACTAGTAAGAGTTTTGCTCCAGTTTTTCATTATTAAAAATAATACTGCATTGACTATCTTGTATTTCTCTATGTTTGCTCAGCTGTTTCCTTAGGATAATAATCTACATGTATAATTTCTGTGTAAAAGGTTTTGCACTTTTAAGAGTCTTTGCTAGTCTGAGAGGTAAAAAAAATGTGTGGTAGTTTAAATTTGCATTTAGTTGTTGGTAAGATTCTTTTGGCCATTTTATTTACCTTTGTGAATTAACTGTTTATATCCATTTTCCATATTTCCACTGGATGTTCATCTTTTCATTTTTAATTGTTAAGATCTTTTTATTAGAATGTAAACTCTGTCATATGTTTAAAATATTTTCCCCCAGTTTTTACTTTATACATCTTTACTAAAATTTCATTTCCCCTACCTACAGCCCCTCGCAAAACTTTGTAACACTTTTCTGGAGTCAGATGGTACCCAGAATACTTAATCACTGTTTTTAACGACTGTGTGATATTTCTTTGAGTTGGGTGTACCAGAATTTATTAGCCTCAACTTTTAGGGGTCCTCAAGAAGGTCTAAGTATGTCATCTGTGCTTTGTTTTTGAACTTTTTTGTACTTTTTTTCTTTAACCAGATGCTAACCCTGAGGTGACAATGACAATGCTTCGCTGGATCTATACGGATGAATTGGAGTTCAGAGAAGATGATGTGTTCCTGACTGAGTTGATGAAACTAGCTAATCGGTTTCAGCTACAGCTCCTTAGGGAGAGGCAAGTCACAGCAGATATATTCAAGCACCTCAGATGGTGGTGGCTGAGCTTTAATTATGCCAAGCTCTGGGAAAACAGCTTCTTCTGCTAATGTAAATAACTTTTGCAAGGTGTTCTTTTAAAGGCAGTAGTGGGGAGAGAATTTGATCTCCCTTGCTTTGTGTTACCTTGTCAGCTAAATTTTCCAAGGCTTTTAGGTATTTTCTTTTCTTTCAGTGGTTTAGTACCTGAGATTACATGATTGTGTGACCTGATGAGCTGAATTTGATATGATCCAGTGTCCAACCCCTCAGCTTTTCCTTCTGTACCATTTCCTTTGACATTTTATTCTACTCTCTCTTGTATCTACTTGGATGAAGTTCTCGGTCATACTCTCTTTGTTAGAAACACATCAATCGTAAATTAATCCATGGGAGTGTGGCTCAGGGAGTTTCACAGCCAATGTTTCCTGTCATCTCACTTCATTTGATACTGCTGTTTGGGGTCCCGAGGAGATAGCCTGCTATGTTTTTTATTTTGCGTTTTCTCTGTTGCTCTCCCAAGTTGGCCTTTTAGGACAACAGAAAACAAAACATAGACCAGATGATATCAGGCAAAATGCCCCTTAGTTTCTGTTGGAGATGTGGCCCTTGGTAGTCAGTTTGGCAGGTTGAGCATCTTTTTACATTGTTTAGTCATCTTTTGTATTCTCCTCCATGCCTGAAGGAGTGGCTTTTCTCCTGGGTGGGTGAAGAAGAGAGTTTCCGCCATCAAGAAGCACTCCACCTTGTGTTGTTGTGTTGCCTTCAGAGAGTCAAGAGAGACCTTGCTTCCTAGAGCTGCTTGTTCTGTTTTCATTGTGGGGCCGATGTTTCCCATGAGGTGGCTGCTGTGTGTCCGTATACAGGTTACTCCCAGCTGTCTGTGGTTGACGTGGGCTTGAGTGCATTTTCATACCTAAACCTAGTAACTGAAACAAACAGGTCTAAGATTCGTAGGCACATACGGTAAGTATTAGGTTAGCAAAGCTGACTTTAGTCAAGGCCTTTCTTTGGATGAGTTTCTGAGTCATCTAAGAGTGAAATGAAATGATTTTAATTAGACTGAGTATGATTTATAGCTGCTTCTTTTTTCTCCCCTAGATTTTATGAGCTTTCTCTCATTGACCTTGTGCAACTTGCTTATAAATTAAATTGCTTTGATAAAAGTGCCCTGGGGTTGAAGTAGTTTAGATAATTGTAATCTGTGTAATGGATTCTTTAATTAAAATGTTTGCTGTTTATCTACTGATTAGGCTTCATAACTATCAACATTACCAGATGCTCAATTTTGTATTGTTGGATGTGGGTGTAAGCTGTTATCTGTTATGTCTTTGTTAAAAGCTGGAATGGAAGAGACCTAGCAGTGGATTCAGTGCTGGCTTTTAGAAGGTCACAGAGTGCCCACTGCTGTCTGCAGGAGAAATTACACATGTAAAATAGTGGAAGAGCTCCAACACAAATGTGTGCAGTTAAATGTGAAGCAGGTGTTGCTCATTTCTGTAATGTAGGAATCTTGATGGTTTGGGGATGCTGTCACCAATTTGATGAAAAGGAAGTTTTTTGTGTATTATCAGGAAAACACTTTAAAAAAAGGAGAGAGAATTAATAGTGTATGTTAAAAACAGTTAATATAATAATTTTTTTCCTGATTACCAGCGACATATAGTATTTGGAAATTTTAGTATTTGGAAAATATATAGTATTTGGAAATTTTAGAATGATATAAAGAAAAAAGTAAATCTGTAATTCAACTACTGTTAACCTTTTGTTTATCCTTTCAATAATTTTCTTATGTCTTATATTTCTACACATGGGGTGGATACAAGACTGGGCAGGAGTTTGTGGGACGCTTGAGTTTATGCTTGATTTTGTACTTTAAAAATTAGGCTTATCATTTTTGTGCATCTACCTTTTTTGTACTGGAAAATTAAAAACATATATTAACAACAGCAAAATCCCTTCAGAGGAAAGTTAGTCTGCCCTGCTACTTTTCAAATAGAAGATGTGAACTGAGAGTCTGAATTTTTAAATATGATGACATTCTTCAGTTGTGTAAATCATGTCAGTCACTATTTATAGGCTATCCAAATAGTGAATGACACTCAGGGGATCCCAGAGTCTGGTGAAAATGAAGAGTCTGCCAGTTGTAACAGAACATCTGTCCTCATGAAACGTAGTTGAGTATCTTGTTGCAGCGTCTTTTGGCAGTAGTAAGGAGGAGAATGGAATTTTTAGACTCTCGGCATTTTTGTCTGTAAACATGCTTTGCAAAGTGCTCTACAGATGTGAGTCAGTACTCCCTGAGATCACACCGTGTTTCAGGATGTTAGAATATTTGTCACTGTGAAAGTGTTATAAAAGTTCCTGAAAGGGCTTTTTCTCCTGGAACGCTCTGGTTTCGTAGCCCGGGGTCAGAATGACTGCAGCAAACTTTGCTGTGGTTTGAGAGAGTTTGGGGAAACTAGTGGTCCAGAAAGCAGGGGCTCAGAAATAGAACACTGTTACTCATTGCTATAGTGACTTATTTAGATATTGTAACAATTTGGTTTAAAAGTGCCCTGGGCAAGATGCTTCTTTACACCAAGTCCGCTATGTTGCTTAACAACAAAGTACTTCACCTCAGGTCTTGGAATAAAATAGGGGCCTGCATTTACTGTGAGGCGGAGAAATGACTCCAGGGTCAGTCTTGCTCCTCGCTAGGGTCTCACTTGTGGAAAGTTTGCTCCCTTTTCTTCCCAGGTCTTTCTCATGACTTTCCCCCTTTCTTTCCCTATCTGCCGCTGCACTTACTTTCCAGACCTCACCTGTTAAAGTTGGGAATTATCTGCTAGCTAATCAGTTATTTTCATTTATAGTAGTACTGAAACCCATTTGTATTAGTTATTAAATTATGCAACTCCCTTGAGAAGGACCTCACACGAGCGAGCAGGCCTCTTTTGTACCTCAGACTGTGCAGAGTTTGTACGATTTTCCTTTACCTTGAAAAACACACAGAGCTCCTCCAAATATCTGAAATAGAGTACTCTCCCTATTTCACAGAGGAGATGGAGGCACAGAGAGCTTGTGTAGTTTGGCCTCAAATTTAGTGGACCTCAATTCACGGTTCATTTGGCTCTCATCAGTACGTTCTGCCCTTGTAATCAGAAAAGGGGTTCTGTGGGAATTAGTGAGACAGAAGAAGCAACAGTGGGGTGTCACCATATTAGGCTCCTCTGCTGCCCTTGGAGGTGAACCTGATTTGTGAGGAGATGTGCAGGCAAGGCCGCCTGCTCCTTCCCCCCGGGGCCCCATTCTCTGGAGGCTCACCAGGGTTTCCAGGAGTTCTGGGGCAGCAGAAGCGTGTGGCTGCCCAGTACTGCATCTTCTAGGCTTGGGCACATGCCTGCTTTGTGCTGCCAGAGGCCTGCCTGCCTGCCTGCCTGCCTGCGTGCCTGTGCACAGCCCTTTCTGCCCTGATGTAGAGGGTGCTCTCTTACTAGTGATTTTGTGATTGTTGTTGTTGTTGCCAGGCTCTATGGGACATCCATCGTGGCCAGTTCTCTGTCTTGGTGTACTGTATTTCGACTCTTAACTCAATCATTCCTATTCTTGATAGATTTTTAAAGTGGACTTTCTGAAAACAACTTTATTAAGTTATAATTCACATACCATATAGATCACCATTTGGAAAGATTTTTTTTCTCTTTCTCTCTCTTCTTTTTTTTTTTTTTTGGTGGTGGGTGGGAGGTAATTAGGTTTATTTGTTTATTTTATTTTGATGGAGGTACTGGGGATTGAACCCAGGACCTCATGTATGTTAAGCATGCAGTCCAGCACTGAGCTATACCTTCTCCCCTGGAAAGACTTTTGAGGAGGTGTTCATTTATTGAGGCACGGAGCCTCATATTTGAAGCTATTTCTAAGTCACATTGGTTGCATGATAGAGTTGTGCTGGCGGGAACTGCAAATGTGTCCCATACAATTAAATATCAAAGGACTGAATGTGGTCCGTTGTGTGTTTGATGTTACAGTTGCCTGTGTGTGATCAGCAAGTTTCAAGTGATTACTTTCAAGGCAGTTGGGGCAGGGTATGCTTAACATGTTTATTTATAGATTATTTTGGTTCTGACCAGAATGAATAATATACTATTAATAATGAAATTCTAGTACTTTTAAAACATGGTAGCTCAGCTATCATTTATTCATAACTACTGTGCTTAAACCTTACACATTAGTGCTGTTGGAGGACATAGCCAACCAGTACACAGATTATTGCTTTGGTTTGTTCATTTGTGAGTAATACTGTTCACCATTCGTATTGTCTTGTAGGTGTGAGAAGGGTGTGATGTCTCTGGTGAATGTCAGGAACTGCATCCGCTTCTATCAGACTGCGGAGGAGCTGAACGCCAGCACGCTGATGAACTACTGTGCAGAAATCATAGCGAGTCATTGGGTGAGTGTGGGCTTGAGGGCTGTGGACAAAGCACCCGCACTGAAAGTCAGAAGACCTGGGCTTGAGACCTGGTTCCATAGGCAGATCCCACTCTGGCCCCTAGTTTCCTCTTCCTCAAAACTGAAGGCTAAGTAGTTGCACTAGATCATCTCTGAGATTCCTTTGGCTCTGAAAGTCTCACTGTTCTGATTTTGAAGTAGAGGGGCAGAAGATAGCTCAGATCAGAAAGCAGGCTTGGAAGGAAGGGACACCTGCTTCACCTTTCGTCTGCAGAAGCTGCGGCTGAGCCGGGGAGCAAGTGCTGCTGCGGGGCCGACAGGCCTGCATGTGGTGCTCTGCAGCACCATCTCCCAGCTCCCCCTGCCTTCTCATCGCGTGGAGAGCCCTGTGAAAATTCAGCGTGGCCCCGCTTAGGTAGCTCTCGTCCTACAGAACAGGCTTTACATTTCTTTTTTTGGTGTCTGTTTTGCATTTTTAAAAAAAACATGGTGAGTGCTATGTTTTATAACCTAGTTTCTGTAAATTGTTTGGTATTCAACAGTGTTATGAGAGGAAGTGTCTTAACTGGATATTAAAGACTTGAAACAGGAACAGTACCTGCCCTGCTAGAACAGGTGGGAGCTTAGAGATCTGTAACCGGAGAGACTGACGGAGACTCAGGGGAAGGAGTTGTTTGCGGAAGTTCTGATTGATTCCGTGATTGCCATCTTTGTAGGGTTGTGGGCTGGCTCTGTTCTCACGTGGAGGCCCCGTGGCTGCGTCCTTGTGGGATGTCAGTGCTGCCTGTGCTTCACCATCTCACCGGGAGGCCAGGCTCCAGGTCCTGGCTCGGCCGTTCAGTCACTGTGTGAACTTGGGCATGTTAATTAGCCTCTTTGTGCTTTACTTTCTTCATCTGTAAATGGGGATAATACTAGTACCCATGTCCTATGGTTTTTGTGAGGATTAAATGAGTTGGGAAATGTTAAGCCCTGTAAAGTAGAGCCAGACGCATTCCAAGGGCTTCTTAATAAATGTTGGTTGTTGCTATTGTTGGTACGTGGAATCTGTTCTGCTTCTCACTGTGTGTCTCATCCTCAGGATGACTTACGGAAGGAGGACTTCAGCAGCATGAGTGCTCAGTTGTTGTACAAAATGATCAAATCTAAGACTGAGTATCCGTTACATAAAGCTATCAAAGTGGAGCGAGAAGATGTGGTCTTCCTTTATCTAATTGAAATGGATTCACAGGTACTGTACCTTTTCCCCAAAC